CCGTCCACACTAATCCGTCACGAAAACGGAGCTTTTCGAAAACGCTCTTCAAACCGGAGGAATTTGAAAACGCCGGCTTTGCGTTTTACGCATGTACGGTGGACGAAACACACTTTGAAAACTGAGTTTTTTCGGAAATGACGGCGTCAAGATAATCATGTGATTTCCCTGATAGAGTTTTCCTCAAACAAAAATCCAAAATGACCGATGATAGTTGCGCTTTAAAATTTTTCCGGCGTAGCGTTGACGGAAAACATCTGATGTGTTTTCAGAGTGAAATGCCGTTTTCAAATTTCTCCGGGGTAGTCTTCACGGGGCCCAGGAGGCGATGACTGTTTATGAAAGGCTATAAAAATCAGTATATTTACCCGCACTTTATCCGATCTTCCCGACGTTTCCACGCAAGCTGAGAATCCAGTTGCGTTGGCCCACTCGAGCCAGACTGTCACGGCCTGAAGCAACGAGCTGGTCATGGCACTGGAACGAGATGGCGCCAATTGCACCAGCACTTTTTCCGCCAAGAATGGAGGGGAAAATGGGGCAGAGTTACATTTGTAAGTTGAATCTTCAGAGATCTCAAATGTGACTTTTCCATAACGAATGTCAGTGGACGAGATGGGTTTTTCTCCATATACTGAGAAGAAAAAAGAGGATTAAATGAGTCGAACTTAAAACTGCTCGAAGATTACAGAAACGATCAGGGTGAAGCGGGCAGGAAAAGCCAAATACAGAGAAAGGAATCGGTCTGAAAGCCAAAAATATCAGAACAGCGTTCACAAGCAGTGATCAGGCCAAATAACAACCTAAAATTATTCGTCTGCCTTCTCTGAAGTAAATGGGTCTTGTTTTTACGGTGTATATGGGCACATAGATCCAGCGATACCGAGTGATATTCCCGTTACCGTACTAAACAGCTTATTTAATAGGTTGCCTTTGTGTAAACAAGATCTGTAAGACCACTGAACCCGACCTAACGTTTCTTCACCCCAGTGCGGGATTTCACCTATAAACTGAAGACAGCCAGATATAATCCCGACCCGTGGCATTCCGAAGCATGCTTCCACATACCGACAATATCCTAACTGACGATAGCTAGAACCCGTCCCGACCCAGGGCATCCCGAAACATGCTATCTACATACCGACAATATCCTTTCCAAGGTCCGGCTCTTTCGGGATCAAGAAAAATATAATGATCAGGATCGCCAACATGAGGAGCAGAACCAATACCGGCACAAGAAGGCCTTCAAAAGAATTTAAAAAATCAATAATTTTTCAAAACAATGAGGTCGTCAGATGGTCACGGGCAAGGGTCTGCTCGGCTGCGCTGGGCGGGGAGGGCTTCCATCCAAAAAGAACGACGGTGCTTGTTGGAAATTTCAAAAAGAACTCCTCAGATCCAAGATCCTGTTTTGTGGACGTGGCTTGAAATTTTTCTCACCCCTAAGAGGTACCTATTCTAAAACAGCGCATTAACTGACACTCATAATCAGTTAAATCGCGATCGATAAAGACGAGTGCTTTGAATACACTCTACTTGTAAAGCTGATTATCAAATATCTCCTGACATATCATTTTCTGCTCCATACCCTCAAAGGTATACCGCAAATGCTCCTGCGGAGGACCTTTTGAGGCCGGTTGAACACCCTAAGGGCTACCAAACCGCTAAAAGGTACGACGAAGACCCCCGTCCTTTTTATCCGGGAGTAACCCCCCCAGGGAAGGGGGGGGGGCTCGGCCCACTGCTCATTTATCAGCTAGGATTTACCACTAGATTCTATATAGATACAAGTAAGCCAGTCAAATTTAAAATTGAAAAACAACATTTCAATTGCCTTAAAATGTCATTAAAATGTAATCAATATCAGCCGAACGCGGTCGCAGTCCACCTTGTGTCAGGGAATGTTCCAAGCATAAATCGGAACTTTCTCTACTAAGGCCCCGTACGCGTCCCGGCGGAGAAATTTTAAAACGGTGTTTTGATTCTAAAAACGCATCAACTGTTAGCTAATTATGTTTCCCATCCACACTACGCCGGAGAAATCTGAAAACGCAATAATTACCGGTCATTTTGGATTTGTTTTTGTGGAAAACTCGGTCAGGGAAATCGCATGGTTATCGCGACTTCATCGTTTTCGAAAAGTTCGGTTGA